AATAAATGTTAACATGTCCATTCCAAGCTTCAAGTAAACCTGGGAATGTCTTCCAGTGAAGAGAACATTGGAAGGTTGTAGCATATAAAGACATAAATAGCTTAAAATAAACATGTTATCATGTTTACAGGTTCGTTTACAAATACAGAACAATCATTTTACCTGTGTATTTTTCTTTATTGTGCCTACACTACTACATTATTACATGCTACATATTTTCATGTTAGATTTGAGCTTCTTTAAAACTTGTTTTTCTTACAGATACTTAGTGTAATCAATTGTAGAGGTATTATAATGTTCAGTAGTTCTTGTGTGATGACTCGTCCAGTAAAGCTGTCTTTAGTGTTCTGGGTATGTCAGAGTATATATTACTCTGATTGTCTTTTTGCCACACCCACACAAGAATACCACACCTTCTTTGACATAAAAGAAGCATGAGTCTCCAGCCTCAGCGCATGGCAGCAATCTTGCAAAGAGCATTCTTCTTCTTCTTCTTCTTCTTATTATTATTATTATTATTATTGTTGTTGTTGTTGTTGTTGTTGTTGTTACAGCACTGTGAAAAAGTATAAGCCCCGTTCCTAATTTCTTCTATTTTTGCATATTTGTCATGCTTAAATGTTTCAGAGCATCAAACTACTTTTAATATTAGACAAAGATAACCCACATAAACACAACATGCTGTTTTTAAATGATGATTTCATTTGTTGGAGGAAATATGCTGTTCAGCCTTACCTGGCCCTATGTGAAAAAGTAATTATCTACCAGTTTGGAAAGGGCTACAAGGTACCAGGTGATTCTCTGGCCAGTAGTCTGACTTGTCAGTTGGACTGTCCAGGTCAGCTGCACTAAAAATAAACTGGAGCACTGCACAACAACAGCCATTAATAGGTGAACAAACTCCTACTCTGCCCCTTTGCCACCTGATCTCTCACAGGATTGGTATTTTACATAAATATACACGTAATAAATGTTCTTAGATCAGCAGATAAGCAAAAGTGAGAAGGGTGGAGATGACCTTAGCAAGAAAGCAACAGGTTAGTCTTTAGCCTCCTCTACTCACCTCATGTCCTACAAAACTGCTACAGCTCGAGGCTGTTTCCCTCCATCAGGAAATACCAGATTAATCCACCATGGAAGAGATGATCTCCATCATCGCTTTCCATCAGACTCTAGTTCAGAATTTGCTCACAAAAATAGCCCTGGTTCTGTTTCCTACTATCTGTATTAAGTCTGGTTACAAACAGAATCCAACAGAACCATCTTTAATCATGTGTAACTCTTATACATATATACATATCACTACTGTCAGAACAAACTATATCTATTTTGGTTGTTTTTCATTTTTGACATAATTTGAAAATGCCTGTTGTCCTTTACATTTTGTGTAAATTTCATGATGAATGGACCAAAAAAATGGCCCAAAATGACTTGGAAAAAAGTATAATTGCATTGACTTGCATTAAAAATAAAGTATGTTTTTCCTTCTCCTGTAAAGTTATCATTTTGGAGATACAAGGTTTTGCTCCAACAACAGCGATATATACATATACCAAATCATACATAATGGATTGGTATCATAGTTAGGTGGGCTATTTGGTGTCACATGATACCTTCCATACAGATTAACAGTTTGTAATCACTTCTTGTACAATAATATACATGCTACTGTGCAAGTCTCAGGCATCTATAAAGCCATTTATCTGTGCATACAGTGTTTATTTGTCTTCTCTGTGTACTATGTAGGTGGTGAGCAGAGTCAATGAGAAGAGCCATTGCTGTTTGGGTGTGTCAGCTCAGCTGACAATCAGTCACCATTTGTTCAGCGAGGACGGGCCTTGGCAAACACAAGGTCCTTGCGTCTCCATTACCTGCAGACATTCCCTTTACTCAACACGCCAGACAGGAGCTGTGGCCTAAGCTGTCGGTCTACTATAAGCTAAGCTAACTTGTATGTGTGGAGATTTTGTTCTGTTTGTGGGATGCATGCTCATGGTGTTTTTTTTGTAAGTACAGCCTTTGAGCTGTCTTAGTATATTTATGCACGCATCAGTTTGTTAACCTGCACTTGATCACTAACTGGTTGCCTCTTGTGGTTGCTGCCTGTACATTCACAGCAGGTTGTTTTCTTACTCTGTGTAGGCACAGTAGGTCAGGGGTGTTTGCTAAAATGCTGTATGTTTAATAAATAAGCCACTCTAATGTTGGTCACTGTGAGCAAACAGCTTGTCCAGTTTAAATTATGTGAACGAAAAAAAACCAAACCCAACACAGGAAGAAATAATTTGACACTTAACAACAGATGCTTCTGCCATTGGTCTTCATGAGAAGAGCTCCTCTAATGTGATGATGCAGCTTGGAAATATGATGTCATTCAGCCAGTGATAAAACTAACACTGTGGTGACAGTGACCTCTGGTGGCCTGGAGGGGGGGCCCTGGGCAGAGATGTGAAGCACAGTTTTTCACAGACTTACCCAACATTTATTTATGCCTACACCACTGGTAGAGGTGGAGTAAATTCACTGTAACACAGAGCCTCATGAACATTTCATACCAATCTTACATTTAACATTTCCAAGATGCCTATTTTTATAATCACACAGTATGACAAATATGACAAAATATGCCAACATCCAATAAACTGAATTTATTCTTTTTAATTTAATCAATAAAATTGTCACAGAATTGTGATTCTAGACAGAGATGGACTGAACACATAGTTTATACTGAAATTAATAATACGGTGGACTGTAAGAACCTCTATTTTTCACAAGACATAGCAAGATCACCCAAACACAATGCCAGGTTTATCAGTTAGAGTTTATAAAAATCGACTGGTTATCAGACACTAATGCTTACTGTGCTAAGAACTATTGATATTTTTAGAGAATATTTTGCTAAATTAGTAAAGGGTGGAATCGTAAAGGTGCAGAACAGAGCTGCAAAAAAGTGAATAAGAATAAACCAGGATTGAGAAAGTTGATATGTCGTCCTGAATTGAACAAAGCTGTTTACACAATAGGGAGTTATGGTGTGTAGGGAACCAATGCTAACATTTGGTGTTTTTAGATGTGGGTAGCACTGCATTGGATTCATGACCATAACCAGCCATGATGACACTGAGGTCTAGACCTAAGTAGTTTTGGAAAGTTTTGTATCTCCAATTATGAAGTGACACGACTGATTCTCCACTGACTTCTCAATAGCTGGGCCTTGACCATAGACTTGAGCTCTGCATGACACACTGCTACATTTAACACTTTAGGATAGAGCTATGAAATAAATATGAGAGAGTTTATGTGAGAATATAGGATATAAAAGTGAATGTTCATGAGGGCATACAAGAATATGTAAACCCCCAGCACTTGTTCTTTACGGTACTCTCAATATTGCTAGCTAAATCAGCATGTAAATCTAAATTTCCAGTTAGTTAATGTTAGTGGATAAATTCACATTTTTAAGCAGGAACACTGTTGCTATCACAATAAGAGATTTGTATAATTCCACTTTAAATAAGGCAATTGATTTATTTTAACAATAAAAATGTTAACATTATATTCATTATTCATTCAAAAAATGAAACTGACAGCTTTAGAATAGGCTTCAACATGAATTTTCAGCTTGAAACAAATTGGCAAATGAATAGTTAAATAAATACTAAATAAGCTGAATGCAGTCTAACTGGAGTCAAAGAAATGTAATAGCAGTTAATGGGAAAAATAGAGAGAAATAGTAATTACATTACTACAAACATTATAGGTAAAAACGTGATTTATGCACCGAAGTAAAGTAGGTCACATTTCTACAGTAAAGACCTCACTAAAATTCTGATCTTAGATACAGTCCTGAAAATGTACTGAAATGTACTAATACAGACAAAAGCTAAGAAGCACCCAAAGACCCATCCTCACTTTTAAAGGACTAGTTCTTTCCTGGATGCTCAGCATGATTGCATTACTTGTTTACAATGTTTTTTTTTGTTTTTTTTTGAACATTTAACAATGTTTCTAGTCTTCAATTACACAGTCTTAACTTTTTTGGAATGTGTTGCAGGCATTCATTTTAGAATTAACATATATTTACAAAAAATAAAAAATAAAGTTAATTAGATAAAATATTACATCTTTGTACTCATTTTGAGTAATAATACAGGTCAAAGTGGAAATATTAATCACTGCTTTCAGTTTTTAATTGGACATTGCACATACTGTCTCAACTTTTTTGGAATTGGGTTTGCAATATTTTTCTATTCCAGTGCAGGACAGGGCTGCATACAGAAGTGATTTCTCTATTCTGATTCATGTAACGCAATGATGACTGATAATTAGCTGATGAGTTGGACCAGATGCTGGACTAGGATGGATAATATCAGCAGTGGATTGTAGTGGCCATCCAGTGCTGGAGATGAAAAGCACTTCAAAAGTTGGAGTACATAAATACTAAAACACTCAGATATCTGAGAAAATGTGCTTTAATCTTCAGTTTCATTAAACCAAAGTAAGTTTGCGTTCTCTATTTTGTGGTGAGCTCTCCAAAAGGTTCTCTCTTGCTTTGTATTCATTTTAGGGACAAAATCTCTCAAGATTCAAATCTTTATTCCTATAATTCAAGATTCATTTAAAATGTATCTTTTACAGCTATTGTCACAAAGCAGCTTTATGGCAAACCCATGTACAAGCCTCAAGGGAGTGTCACCAAAGGTTACAGTGGCAATGAAAAACTCCATAAGAGCAAAAGTATAAAACCTAAAGAGAAGCCAAAACACTAAAGGAGAAGTCATCCACCTCTGTTTAACAATATTTAGCAAACAATAACACAATGTACATGTACATAAACAGATCAAGCAAAGCAATTATATCTGATGTTTACATCACCTGACCTTCTCCACAAGAGTAGTATTACCTTTATGACAATGTCATTACATTATTATTGTATTATTATATTACATATTGCCAATATAACAATAGTTATTATAGCAGGATGAGTGATCTTTTCATTTTTTACAGATTATACATTATCTGATGAACTGAAGACTATCGGTACATTTCATTGTTCGAATACAATCCAATTAGTGCACCAATGGTTCCACCAGTCCAGAGGATCAAAGCCTTGAAACAAAAACACGTCCATGAGTGTGTCAAAGTCCCTATTAAAGAAAGTACTACAATAATGACTACCCCAACTCCAAAACCCTTCAGAGCAGATCTAAAAATTGCACATATTTCAGCCAACAATGCTTTCAGTATTACCTCAGAGAGTTTTAGAAGAACCCTCCCTACTTTTTCAATGATCAGCTCTGCTTTACCATTCCTTTCATTTTGTCTCCTTCTCTTCTCCTCCTCTCTGACCTTTCTGTGGTACATCTCATTAGTGTAGTGCTGTCCTCCATTCTGCTCTACCAGTCTGTCTATCTTCTCTAGCAGCTCTGAGACCTGAACACGATCATATTTCTTATTGTTTCTAAAAACATGATATGCTGCTCTGCATTTTTCCATCAGCTTTTGGAGTTCTGTGTCCTTTTCCTTCTTCTCTACTGGATGAAGACCACCAGTGAAGAGCACCATGGTGAACTTCAGAGCTTCTTCTCCAAAGTTCTCCTGAATCCACTTCACAGCATTCTTTTCCTCTTCTGTAAATCTCCCCACTCTGACCACCAGCAGGAAGACATGAGGACCAGGAGTTGACAGTGAAACACATTGATCTATTTCAGCTTTCAGCTCCTCTTCAGAACGTGATGTATTGAAGAGTGCTGGAGTATTGATGACCGAGATCTTTCTGCCCTCCACTGTTCCTTCATGTTTCTCACATTGACTGCTTACAGATTTAATGGAGAGATGATCCACAAATGCCTCTCTGCCCAGGATTGTGTTTCCAGCTGAATGTTTTCCTGCTCCATCCTCACCCAGGAGAACAATCCTTAAAGCTGACACTGTGGAGAGGCATTAAATATGTTATATACAGCACAACTAAACTAACAAATGATTAACCTAAAAATGTAGCTAATGACATTAACAAAGAATAAGCACCACTTTAGCAAACTACGATGTTCACTCATGCTTTTTTTAATGTTACTAATCTAACATGTAGTAGACAACAGGTGATATAGTGTAGTGAGTAATATCACTGACCTTCACCTGCAGACTGGGGTTTAATTCCCCACCCGGGCAAGCCCACCACGCTATAACAATATCTGTGGGCGAGAATCCTAGTGCTACAGTTGCCTACATCTGTAAGATGATCAAACTGTAAGCTCTGAATAAAAGCTTCTACCAAACAATATAAACATACAGAAAAACAGCAAGAGACCATAATCTAATGCAGTCTTTTTAATTATTACATGCTTATTATTTCAATAATTCATGAGTATACAATTTTATGTACATTTGGAATTTGCTCTTTATAGATTTTGTCTGAAAATCAAAAATATTCTGTACACACTGAAATGAATGGCATTGCACAGATTAGCCTGATGATGAGGCTGTAGCACAAACTTTAGATTCTGGCCAATGAAGAGAAAAACTTTCAAGTATGTCAGTAAAGGATTCAAGTAGCAGTAAAATTAAACTTGTTTACTTTCCCATGAGAACAGAACGTAACATTTCTGCCAACTGCATTCCTTCTCTGTTCATTTAACATCTACTGGGCAGAGTCAGTAGTGATTGTCTTGATAAAAAGACAAAAAGCAGATAAAATGCCTCCATGTTCAAACTGAAAGAGACTATCCTCTCGTCTTTCTGTAGTTCCTAAACTAAAGTTGAATGCATAAGTGTGTCAAATGCCATGTTGTAGTGATTTTGTAAGTGAAAATAGTGAACACATCCTCTACAGAGAACACACTTCTGCATGTTAATACACAATTACTGTTTATTCACTGAATTGACCATATTGGACAAAAATGAACAATAAGTGGCCTGTGGCACGTCTTACTTTGTGTGTTTGTTAAACTTGAGCAAATAAATAGAAAGTATATATTAAAACTTGCATATTTAAGACTGTTCTCTGTAGAACACTACACTCACAAAATCAACAAAACATATTTTGGCTGGTGATGTTCAAACCTTTGCATATGACTGTACAAAGCATGCCATTACATAAATATGTAGATAAGAACCCATTATTTAGCAATACAGAAAAAGTGGATGAATTAAACATTAATGTACCAATAATATTCATACTGATCAGGGTTACAGATTCTCCTCAGAGAGTAAATAAAAAAGAACAATAAGAAACCAAAATCAAAAAGAAACATACTGTAGTGTTCATCACTATTAAAGGAGATAGCTTTTACACAAGTCATGGTGCTTTATTCTCCAGCTGTTGTTGACCACAGCCATGCCATACATACGCATAGTTTTCTCTAACAGTTCCTTCTAAGTCTAAGCAATGCGTTATTCTCTTAGCTGTCAGCTCTGGACTGATGCTCAGTTCTCCCTGCTCTAACACACATCCCCCCCAAGGAAAACTAGCCCCACATTCACAATAAGAGTCCGTATAAGAATAACCCATGAGTAAATGCTGAAATACCAATAACCTAAACTAACATTTATTTCTTGAACACACTACACTATTATTCATTTAATATATTAATGCTTTCAGGTTTTCAAAGAAATCAACAGGGATTTAGGTACTTACTTTATGGTGTAAAAGAGATGACTTAACTGTGTAATGAGGTCTGAATGGAGCCTCTGTCCAGTAAAGCTGAAGCTGTCCAGCAGTTTGTTTGTTTTCAGTGTTATTCCTGTATCACAACAAGACCACACCTTCACCACAGAAAGGGCTGGGCTCACTGTTTTAGTGATGTCATGTGTTTTATCAGCTCTTCACAAAGGAAAGCCCATCCCATCTCCTCATTGTGTCCATGTCAACGGGACATTAAAAAAGAACAGTAAATAAACCTTCCAAAAAAGACCATAATGTACTTCTGCACATTCTTATTATGCTAGTGAAAGGTTGATGACCCAGCTGTTTCCATGGTGATTATGAATGTAACTAGGCTGGTCTTAAAAGAACATACCAGCCTCTAAATGATGTTTCAAGAGGTTTGATATGAAGTATGCTTCTTGATAAGAAAGCTGGCTTGGCTGCTTTATTCATTGTGCTTTTAAAATGCATGAGCTACTAACAATAGGAAGAAATGTAGGTAACACTTTAGACTCTTAAAATAGATGTGTTAAAAACAGCATATTATGTCCTTAGCTAGACACATTGATGATTATACTAATAATTACATTAGAAATTATTATGATTATAATTAATAACACAAACCCCATTTCTGGAAACGTTGGGACATTTTGTAAAATGCAATAAAACAAGAATCTATGATTTGAGATCATCTCATCCTCTGCACCTCTGCTTAGTAGAGGAATTGATGTCTGCACATATATAGTGCAGCACCAAGCAAGAAGTAATAATGTTGATGCAACAGTTTGGGCTGTATTGGAGAACCTTGACTTCAATATTCCTAAAGTCCTTTACACTGTGAACAGTGAATGTGAGCAACATTGAAGAACTCCTCAGAATCAGAATTAGAATATGCTCTTCTACACTGTATCGTTCCTGTTAAAAAGTCATCCATGAGATGCAATTTAAATATTTGCAGCAGTTTTTATCATATTTGTACGTCTGTATCAGCTGTCATTGCTGTTCTTTTTCCCTCGTATCTACATATCTGTCATTATCTGTATATCTAGGGTTATTTACAACAGATTTGAGTTTTATCTGTTGTGTTCATGTTAAGCCTTTCAAAATTAACATTTAAGTAGCCATTATGGTTATAGCCTCTTTGACGTCTCGCTCATCTAGTACTCAAAGCACAACCAGAAGTTCTACATGTACCATGCCTCTGTCTCTTCTGTAATAATTTTCATTGTTTGGATCTCAAATGAATCTGTGTAAAATTAGGGGGTGTCTAGACAGGAGAGCAAGAATCTAGCAATGTAAATCATGATAACAGTGGGCTAGAAGAATAAAAACAGCTGTTAGCCTTAGCTGGCTAATTAACACAGATGGATACAGAAATGATAGCTTCGGGAAACTCATATATTTTGTCATGGCTCAGGAAACTGAGAAAATGAAAAACTACCAAGCTTGAATCAGCTGCTGAATAAGCCATCTTTGATTTTATTTTCATGTCCACTAACCTGGTGAAATGGTTTGAAAGTATGTTGTTCAATGTGGTCTCATGATGCATTATTCTTGTTTTGATTGGCTGTTTCAGGAAACTTGTTTCATGAAGTTGAGACGCTTAGAACTGTTGCAGTTCCAAATGCATTGAATTAAATAGAAACTTGTCAATTCATGTGTTAAGTATCCCATTTGCAATAAGCTCTGACAAAAGGCAAATGACAGCATAATAGACACTTAAAATATAAATTAAGGTTATATTATTGACATTGCAGAAGTCACTTATTATACTATCACTTTTAAAACAAGCACAATAATTTAAACCAAGCAATAGCCAATAATATTTCCCCCTGTCAAAACCAAATGTGCTACTATCCCCCCAAAGTAGAATCCAGATCAGCTGACCCCAAAAAGTTACCAGGAGGTGGACCTCTTCTCCTACAAGTCTTATACATATATAAATCAAGCTACTTACTTTTATTGATAAAATTGCTCAAATATTCATTAAGATACATAATGGAAAATTGCGTCAAAATAACCATGGCACACAGAGCATCTTTATACAGACATTTGATGCCCCCATTTATTTATTTATTTATTTATTTATTTATTTATTTATTTATTTATTTATGAGTATAATATACTATCTCATGGACATGTGAAGCAGTGCATATCCAGCAAAGTCAGAAAAGACAAACACAGAAAGACAAAAAAGAGTGCAGGCAATAGTTACATGATTGTTGTAATTAATGAAAGTTAGTGATCAAGGGAAAGCATACATGTGACCAGAGAAGCAAATAGGAATTTGCTACAATCTGAATCCACATGTCCATGTATACTTTTAAAAACAAGTTTAACCTGGACATTTAAACATTTTTAAAAGATGGCTGAGTCCTGCCAGACCCTTATATCTCTCTCTGTTGTTGTTCTTGTTCTCCTGGCTTTCTCTGGAGGTGGGCCAGTATTCTATCCAAGTCTTTGATCCAAGCACATAGCGATAACTGAAAAGAAACAAAATGATACACAGAGTTAAAGAATGTTTGCATGTCTGAAAAAATTTACTTTATCTTCTCTTAATATGTTTAAATCCTATTCCTAATAACAGACACTCATATTCTCCACACCTCATTTCAATGATTTATTTAATATTTATTTCTAGTCAAAACAGCCATTAAGTTATTCATTTTTGGGAGGCATTTCCGAGAAGATGAGATAATCCATTTGTATAAGAGGAATGTCAAAGGTACATAAAAAAGGTGAAAAAAAAATTAGGAGCTTCCAAAGCTGGAGGTCAAAAAATGACACACTAAATACTGCAAAATATGATATTATATTTAGTTGGTAAGGCTTCTGTGTCACTTTCTGTTAAGTATGTTTTATCTTTTTTCCAAAGGATCATCATTTGGTAATTATTGTTTTGAATGTAAGTAATAAAAATCATCTTAATTTCAATCATCTATGACAACACTGTCCATCTCTGTAGTGTAGTAGTAGTGTAAACTCACTCAGTGTTGTGACTCTGATCTCCAGCCTAAATGCCTTAGGTTGAACATGATTTTAACAGCATTTGGTAAAGCTTGTTCAACAGCACATTTGTATGCAATAATCTTTACTGGTTCACTAGCAAACTGGTTAGTGGTGTAAAAATGCATTGATATATTGTGATACACTGATCTGAAGGTGAGTTTTCAAACATCTCCTCTGTGATAAAACTGACATCTGAACATCAATGAAATTACCACTGGACAAGCGAGGTTTACACATAGTAATCCGATCACAGAATACTAAAATTTATTGATATTGTTTACATAAATGTATG